TTATTTGTAAGAGGTGATAGAGTTTTTGCAAGGGTTTTATTGCTTGATGAGAGGTGAAAGAGACAGAAATTGGGCACCTTGTCATTTCCTGGGGGTTTCCATTTTTGGGATTTCTTTAGAGCTTGCCTAACATTATCTGTGGTTATATTTTCCCACTCTTGCATAGGTGTATCCAGCATTCGTTCTTCAAGTTGGATCCATTCTGCATTTGGGTTATATTCCTTTGGGCTGTTCCGAATATTCTACCAAAATGTCTGCACTTTGTCAATAGATGGTGGCTTTTCGACATGTATAGGTGCTTTTCCAATTCCCCTGTAAAATTTCTTAAGGTCCGTTATATTTTATTTTGGAAATAGAACCTGCATCGTTTTTCGTATCGTCTTTTTCTCTGTGCCTTTACCTGAAGTTACTGTTTCAGCATTTCCTTGAGTGATGTAATTTCAATTAGGAATTACATTTTATATTTCCGCTTGATCTTCTTGTATTTGCGTGTGGAGACATTTGGGTTTCTAGTGAGGCTCATCTAATATAGAAAGCTCACATCTAATTTTCTTTATTTCTCGCATCAGTTTTGCCTTCCAAGCTGGCTCTCTATGTCTGCTTTTTTATTGTCTTCCCAGTAGTTGCTACAGCTGTTGCGTATATGATGTTGTTAACTTCTTTGATATTTCCCGGTGGTTTATCCGTTAACAGTATTTCCAGAGCAGCGTTGTATATTTGCACAATGTGCTTATTGGACTTCGTCATATAAATTTTTGGAAGTTGGTCTGACAATTGCGTGAGGGTTACTCTGCTGAGTACTTGAATGACGTGGTTTTTCACTTCGGTGATTTCAGTTCTGTGGTTTTCAAGGAAATCCAACTTGATGTAGTTGGACTCAACTTCAGTAACATCGTCTGGATAACAGCAGGTTATGCCACAGGTAGCGTCTTCGATTTTATTTCCCGGGAGGTTATTTCGTATTTCATTTATTTTAGTTTTTACCTCGTCCTCTGTCATATTACTTATTTCTACTTTCATGACTTTACAGTTGAAGTGATAGGTTATAGTATTCCAATTTTCTGTCTTTTATCTAATTTTATCTTATCTATTTCTGCATTTGAGAGTCTTTTGTTTCGCACAATGTCCCTGCGGACATTGGAAGGCCTGTTTGGGTTGATGTTAGGTCTTATATCACTTCCTACCATAGTACTCCATATTTGGTATGCCTGATTCGTGGTGTTCTTCGATGGATTTTCGAGTGCAGAGAACAATGATATCGTGACTTGATACTCTTCGCGAGACCAATTCGTTTTCTTTTTATTATTTGATTTAGCATTGAGTCTGTTGATCCAAGGTTGGGAATAGTCTAGGTTTGGTGACCTAGTGTCTCTTCGTTTTTGGAAGAGTTAGTTCCAGTAACAGATTTTACGGTCCCAGACTGGTTCCTCTCTGAAGTACGCGGCCCTTGTTGACCTGATAGACGACCGATCCGGTATGAAATTTTATTCGTATTCATTGAGACTCGTAGAATTTTGTGTTTTAACCTTGACCGCCAAGGGGTAATTATCTTCAAGTTCCTAGCTCTACGACGAAACTCAAAGAAGACCTGAGAGTACGTCCAACCAATAAGATTGGTACGGATGGGGAATGAATTCAAATATCCAAAATTAAAGTGTTCATCACTGAGTATTGTATTCAGTGGGGTAGCAGATGCGTGTAGACATGGCACTGACTATACTAAGTTTTAATAAGTCGGAGTGACCACTAACAGGTGGAATATCAGACTTTTATTAATGAGGGCTATTCCATTTAAAAAAGGGGGGTGCAGTCAATATGATCCCTACCCATGCGAATACATACACATATAAATTGTATATACATATATATTTATATACATACATACATTCGCATGCATATATACACGCACTTACAGGCATACATTATGTCGAGAAAGAAAGAAAAATGGACGGAAGGTTCCACTTGAGGTGTGGGATAAAAAAGAGAAATTAAATTAAAAGTAATAAAAAGGAAAAACAACAGAATTAGTACTTATCAAGTTTTATAGGGTAAACCATCAACTCTTCCCTATATTTTGGTGGAAAAGTTATCAAAGAGTTCATTTGACAAAAGGGTAGAGACAAGGAAAAGAAAAGAAAAAAAAAGGAAATTAAAATAAATATATTTCGGGTCATTGCTCAACCTGCTAGCCACTAAAAGATAAATTTTAAATTTTCACTCAGTAAGTCAAAAAGCAGAACATTGTTAGGTTAGTACACCTATAGCGATATAAAAAGAAAAGAAATGGGGGTAGTTCAATGTTCAACTTTCCAATGTTCGACCTTCCGACGCCAAGTTTTTTTATTATTATTATTATTATTATTATTATTATTATTATTTGTGCATGCTATGTTTCCTGCTTTGTATCCTGTAGAACCAGATGCAAACTATGGACCTTGGGCCCTATAGGTGAATTGTCATTTAAATGAGAGCACTTTTCTTAGTATATTGGTTGTTACTAGTAGAGTGATCGTCTTGTATGATGATCTTACCTGGGACATTGTTATTATAATTGTCTATTCCTTTTCTCACGAGGCCCAGAGCTCCGATTACTATTGGTACAGTCTCAGTTTTCATTCTCCACATCCTGTTAATCTCGATCTCTAAATCCTTGTTTTTGGACAATTTCTCGATAATTTTAATGGAGGTGTTTCTCTCAGATTGTACTGCTATGTCAATAAACATACACTTCCTGAATTTTATTATTATTATTTATTATTATTATTATTATTATTATTATTATTATTATTTCTGTTTTATACTCATAGCCTTCTGGGTCCCAACCAAAGAGCTAAGATCAGAAATGACATCATGACATTTTCTACTGAACATTTTTGTAAAAACAAAAAAAAATAAAACAGCCTAATATCACACATATTTGACATAGACAAAGCTTTTCGTATGAGCTGTACTTGTGAGAAGATTTTTTTTAAATTTCTTTAAATTATGGTCTACTCGGGATTTCTTCAACGAGACTATCAGAACATTTACCAATCAAACTGAGGGTTCCAATCACAACTGGAATTATTGATATCTTCATGTGCCAAAATTTTGAGATTTCCACTTTAAGATTCTTGTATTTTGATAGATCTTGAAGATCATCAAAGATACTTCAGGAATTGACATGTTAATAAGAAAGCCCATTCTGTTTTTGTAGACTTTGATCACGATGTCTGGACGATTAGCTTTCATTGTTCTGCCTGTGTTTACTGTAAAGTCCCATAAAATTGTTATAGGTCGAATGTCTGTAACAGGGTCTGCTGTTTCCTCTCCATAAAAGTTGCAGATTTTGTTGTGTAGATATTTACCCATTTTTTCATGCCGAGTTTTATATTCGATGGGTGTTAATACCGTGCAACCTGATGCAAGATGATTTATTGTTTCTGGAGATTTATCACAGAATCTGCATTTAGGGTTAACACAATTTTTCAGTATGTGTTCAGTATATGTTTCTAGTTTCTAGTCCTGTGTTGCAAGAATATGTGCTGCAAGAATATAACCTTTGGTTTCAGCATTTAATCCTGCACTACGTAACCACTGATGGGTACGAGGTTTATCTACATCTCAACTTGTTTTGTACAAGAAGAGTATTAACCAGGAAGAGGCTTGTCATCGTTTCTGCATTTGGTACATTGCTTTTGACTTCTTTTTAGGTTCTTTGCCGATAAATTAGGGGAATTATGGTTTATTTGCTCTTCTTCATCTACATGATAAAATTCCCTTTTGAATTTCATGTCTTTCTTTATTACTGAATAAAGTTTCTTACTTTATAATCCAGTCTTCTGTATCTTTCCAGGTCTCTTTGAAGACCGAATGTTGTGGCTTTGTAAGACAATTTTAGTTGAACTAATCATCTGCCTACTTCGGACCTGGATCCATACAGACGGTCACATCGGCCTTAGGATGATGAATGTGGTGGTCAATGAGAAGCTTTCGCGTTTTGCCGTCTATCTACTTAATATCAGCTATGGTCCAATTAAGGATGTTGAAACTGTATTGCACCACAGGGACAACCAAGGTGTTTATGGCTGATATTATGCTTTGTGAATTCAACTCGGTATTCAATGTCAGACGCACACGTCTATAGTATTTTTTTTTTACTTTCTTTTTCATTTGGTGTCTGCTGTATTCTATCTCCTTCGATATTTCTAGGGACCTATAGGCTTCTTCTTGTTCCAGTTCCTTAATTATTATTATTATTGTTGTTGTTGTTGTTCTGGTAGGGTTATAAATTAAACCCACATTTGTAATTATTTTACCGCAAGCAATGGCGATAACGCCATTAAGTAACAAGAAGTTAAAAAAGAATTTACTAGCGTGTGCAACACGTTTCATTTAATGACCATATAAACCTAAATTGATGGTCTTTCTATGGGCAGACCCTTAGGGCGTTTATTTTCTAATTTTTAAAGGGCTCATCTTGAAAACAAAATATTTAATGAATTAGCTAAATTTAAAATCATTAATGATATTATCGAACTGAAATAAAATTTTGAGAAAAATTCTGGTTTAAAGTTCCCTTTTGAAGTAAATGTTAATTTTTAAGAAGTCACCTTTCAAGACACATTTACTGACGATATTATTTGAAACATTATTTGCATTCATTCGACTCTGCCACCTTTACAAATGAATCCCCCAAAATAAAAATTTTTACTCGCATGTGCAACACATGTTCCATTTAATGACCATCTAGATAATATCTACACCCAAACTGATGGTGTTGCTATGGCCAGTTCTTTGAAACCTTTATTCGCAAACCTTTAAATGACCCATCTGAAAAACAAAATATTTCAATGAATTAAAAATCGTATCTACCCCACACAAAAATGAAAATTTTAGATTCACTATATGATAAACAAATTAACTAACATTTTTTTTTTTTTTTTTTTTTTTTTTAAGCATTTCACCCCAAGCAAGGCGGGGAGCCACTAGGACGCAAGGGGTTACAGAAAATAGGAAGATCAGATAGGAGTGATAGAAGAAAGGATGAGGGTAGTAGATAGATTAAGGCAACTGGAGATGTCGATTGACATTACACTTGAATAGCTGGAGATTATAACTCTCAGGGAAACAGGAGAAGGGAAGAGAGTTCCACAGGCGAGAAGTGCGAGACATGAAGCTATTAGAGTAGTAGAGACGGCTACATTTATGAGTTTCGACAGTGAAGGGGTGAGAGCGGGATGCCAGCCTCGTAGGGCGCTTGAACTCATGAAGTTTGGGAACCAGCGAATGCAGTTCCTCGGAGCAATTTCCATGAAAGTATTTGTAGAACAGACAGAGAGGGAGGCGACGGTGCGTCTGTGAGAAAGTGACTGTAGACGAGACGCCAGGGTAGGGCCAACCATATTACATATCCGCCTCTGGAGCCTATCAAGAACCCCGAGGCAAACAGAAGGGGCGCCAGACCATATATGGCAGCAATACTCCATGCAAGGGCGAATTGTGGATTTGTATATCTGGAGGATCGACTCAGGGGAGAAAAACTTCCTAGCACGGCTCAGGGAGCCAACTTTCCTCGAAGTGGACGAGGCAATTGACTCGATGTATTTATTCCATCTCAGGTCAGCAGTCAACGTGAGACCGAGAAGCCGCAGAGAGTTGCTCTCGGGAAGTTGAGCGTCAGACATTATAATGGAGGGAAGGGAAGGCTCTCTGTGGTGATTAATAGAGAGCAGTTTAGTCTTCGAAGCGTTGAAGTTGACCAGCCAAATCTTGCCCCAGTTCACAATCGATTGGAGGTCCTTTTCGAGGCGCACGGCAAGGTGAGTTTTGTCAGCGAGACTGGATTTGTTTTTGAGGCAGGAATAAATTGTGGTGTCATCCGCGTAGATGCCGACTTGAGAAGTTACGGCGTCAGGAAGGTCATTTATATAGATAAGGAATAGAGTGGGGCCTAGGATGGAGCCTTGAGGAACTCCTGCGTTCGTGGGGTAGGAACTGGAGGAGAATCCGTTGTGAACGACCTTCAATTCACGGTTTGACAGGAATGATTGTATTACGTTATATAATTGACCCGTAATGCCATAACCCTGGATCTTGCGGAGAAGGCCGGCGTGCCAAACCCTATCAAATGCTTTGGAGATATCTAGTGCCACGGCTCGGGCTTCCCCGTTATTTTGGAGAGTTCGGTAGACTGTTTCCGTGATGGCTGTGAGCACATCGGCTGTAGATCTGGCAAAGCGGAAACCATATTGCTTGTCTGAGAGCAGATTATTGGATGTGAGGTGGTTAACCACCCCGGTATTGATTAGAGCTTCGAAGATTTTGCCGAAGAGGGAAGGAGACTGATAGGACGGTAGTTGGAAGGGTCAGAGGGGTCGCCGGAGTTCTTGAAGACAGGAACAATCGAAGAGAACTTCCAGCAGTCAGGAAAACAAGATTCCTTGAGGCAGTAGTTGTATAGTTTCGAAAGGGCGGGCGCCAGTTCAGGCGCGCATTTCTTTAAGACAATGGCTGGTATCCCATCTCCACCACTTGCCTTGTTGAGATCTAAATTGGAGATAACGCCCAGTACCAAGGTTGGGGTTATGTTTAACCCACTCAATATGGCCTCAGTTCTAAGAGGAAAGTCAGGTATGGGTACACCAGAAGAGTCGAGCGTCGAGTTGGATGAAAATTTCCGAGCAAAGCATTCAGCCTTGTCGGTAGAGGAGGTCAAGACTTCGAACTGGTTGAATAGAGGAGGTATAGAGGGTTTGCACTTATTCAATACACTCTTGCAGAGACGCCAATAATCTTTGGAGCCAAATTTGCGAGATGCAATACGTTCCTTCATTCGAGCCGCAAATAGTGACTTAGCATCATTTAGGACACGCTTACAATCGTTACGGGCGGCGGCAAAGAGACGTCTATTGCAGTCAGACATGTCGCTACGGTATAGGTGGAAGTAGTGGTTCTTATGGGCGATGGCGGCTGAGCAAGCAGCCGAAAACCAGGGGCAGGGCGCGTCTTAGCCCTATATTTCCTTGATGGGATGAAAGCGTCGATTCCAGCTTTAACCCAGGAAGAGACCTCAGAAGCACATTCTTGGACGGGGAGCTTAAAGACTCCATCCCAGGGGACATCACGGAACGCGTCCCAGTCAACTCGTTGATAATAGAACGAAGTTCTAGTGGTAGGAGGTTCTTTATAGGGGGAGGAGTTAAAGAAGATGTTAACCGATACTACTGCATGGTTAGAGTTACCAAGTGGGCATAGTTGCGAGGCGCTGCAGGATTCGGGGATGGAGGTAAAGCACAGGTCGAGTAGAGAGGCTTTACTTACCCGGTTGAGGGCAAAACGAGTGGGGAAGTTAACTATCTGTGTAAGGGAATGGGAGATTGAAAAATTAAGCGTTTGAATGCCTGCATGGTCAGTAGTAGCATTCTTAAGCCACAGAGTGTGATGGGCGTTAAAGTCTCCAAACACAAAAATGTGAGCAAACGGGTGGAGGGAGAGCCTTGTCTATGTTGTCTGAAATGC